AGAAAGAGAGTGAGAGGGAGGAGGGAAGGGAGAGAAGGAGGGAGGGAGGGAGGGAGGGAGGGAGGGAGGGAGATGGAGGCAACAGTGGGGGAGAAGGAGGACAGAGAGGAGAAGTGGGCAAGAAAGTTGGAGGAAAAGAGGGAGGAGGAGGAGGAGGTAGAGGAAGAACAGGAGGATGGATTAAGGGAGGAGGAAGGGGAGAAGCCTGGCTGTTACAATGTTGCTGTTTCCCTAAGTAGTTCCTTGCAAAGCAGTGCTTTCTTTTTCCAGGGAAAAGGAAGCAAGGAAATCATTCAGTCCCCTTTTCCTTCCTGTCCAGGTTTGGGCAGATATTTCAAGGTCACTCTTAAAAAAGGGTTACTTCTGAAGTGGGGGGGTTGGGGACCAGAGGAAGCGCTTGGGGGTGGGCGAGGATGTTCTTCCCCAGGGGGGCACTGAGGAATCCTGGCCTCCAGAACCAGAGGGAGAGGGGGCCTTAGGGGGAGTCCTTTGTTCCTAGGCATTCCATTTCTTTCCCCACACTCCAGTCCTCGGTCCCCACCCCCACCACCTCCTCTCTCATTATCAAACATTTGAAGACTGAATAATTCCATTCGTCCATGTCTTTGGGCCCTTCCAACAGAGCCTCTGAACATGCACAAGGCCCCGCTGAAATCAAGCCCCTGGTTTTCAAGGTGGATTTATCACCCTTTTAAGGGAAGATTTATTGGGTAATCGCTTTCAAAAAGTGTTCATTGCACCCGAGTCTGAAATAAAAAGTGTCCTCTCCCTTGGGCTGCGAGGGAGGGGGCTATTGACCACTCGGAGGCGGGGCAGGGTGGCCCCAGCCAGGGCCCTGGGAGGGTCTCACACTTCCCCTGCATCACTGGTGTGGTGGGGAAGACCAAGCCACCCCAGCTGGGGCAACCTGGGGTCTTTCCCTGCGTTTTCAGTGTGCTCCTTCGTAGAGTGCCCTTTGGGGACTTGAGAGAACTGGCCCTTGTGCGTATTGTTGTTGCCTTTCAATGAAAAGCAGGCAGGGAGGGATGTCAGACCAGATGGCAGAAATGGAGGGAGGGAGGGGCCCACTGTCCAAGCCAGAGAGCCCAGGGATGGGAGCAGGGCACCCCAGGGAGGCGCACCTTTAGAGATGCTGAGACAGGGGACTAATGCTGAGCCTTCCTGCAGATCTGTGTGCCCTGTCCTCTGACACCACATGTCCTCCCAGAGATGTGGGTCTGGGTTTCAGCAGGGGCCCACACACCTCAGGAAACCATGGAGATGGAAACTGTGGGTAGAGGAGGAACAAGAAGAGGGAGAGCCCGAAAAATTGCAGTGGGGGGGGGAGTCAGAGAGGTGAGGGAAAGAGGCAGGCAGACAGTAGAGACCAGCAGACAGACTCAAGGGGGGATCAGGGTGGGAACAAGGGAGGGAGACAAAGACATGTGACAGGAAACGTGTGAAAGAGAAGAGAAGCAGAGACGCATGCAGAGACAAAAGCAGAGAGAGAGACTAAGAGAGACTGGGTGAGAAAGATAGGAGTAAGACAGTGACAGAGATCAAGACCGAAGGAGCCAGAAATAAGGGGGTGGGGTGGGGGGCTGAAGAAGCCTTTAGCCCAGGTCCTGCCCAACACACACAACCCTGGGGGAGCCCCACAGAGCCTGCAGCTGTGATGGGGGGTAGGGGGGTGTCTTAGGAGTTGATTACCTTGGGTGTGGGGAGTGATTGAGGGGAAGGGAGTTAGCAAGGGGCAATGAGAAGAGGGGGAAAGATTCTCCCCTCTCCTCCGCTGCAGCAGCCCCAGTTCCCAGGTGAACCCCCCTTTCCCTGCTGGATGTGAAATCGCCATTTCACCCTGCCACACTTCTTAATTGTTGCAAAAATCATTTGTGAAATTGGTCTCCAACAGGCGAGAACGGCCACGCTCATTCCGACGGGATTCCCAGAGCCCCTGAATCACAGGGCACAGCCTGGGGAGGGGGAGGGATTGTGGGGGGCTGGGAGTTGGGTCCTCTATGGACACTGGCAGCACCTCGGACCCTTCTGGGGCGCGGGCACTGGGAGTCTGGCCGGTGCCCCGGAGGGCCAGGAGCAGAGCGAGGTGGCCCTGTCGCAAGGTTCAAGAGTTCCCAGTGTTGCGGCGTCAGCTAACAGGGCGACGGATCGGAGTGGAGACCTGCGACTGCCAAGTCTAGGATAAAAGAAGGGAATTTTCTGCCTCTGCTCCAGGAGGCCCATTCCTGCAGGGATTTGCCCCAAACACACTCACGCCTTCGTGATGGGACCTTATAGTAAGAGAAGCGCCACGGGGCCCCAAAGTGCAATCCCAGACTCAGACTCTCCTTAGAAGCCCACCTGGACTCCACCTGGCCCACAACCTAGGGCAGACCATACACAAGCCCCCTTCAACCTGGATGCACCCACAAATACAGGTTGGAAGAGGAACTGTCAGTCCTTCTAAGCAAGGAAGGAAATGAATGAATGTGCAATATATGCATTATATATTGCAAATATAAATATAATATATATGTATTAGGTATTATATGTGTGTATGTATACGTATGTGTATATATATATATGCCTTTGAGGGTCGAGGCATCTAGGTCTAATTGGAAATGTAAAAAGGGTTCAAAACCTCAAGTGTAACCCCATCTTCTCCAGAAAACCACTGGCTTTAAACTGAGTCTCCCCATCTCCCATGGGGGCAGCATATACAAAGGAGGCCATCACTGCAAGGAGCAAAGAGCCCTAGACAACCAGTCAGGGCCCCTAGAACCCAGTCAGCGGCTGGCCATGGGGGGGGGCGGGCCCCTTGCTGTCTGCCTTTCTAACTCTAAACTTTCCTCTTCTCAATTCTGGGGCCATTGAAGGTTTAGATGTCCAAACTTTTCCAGTCGGACCCCATTCGCAAAGCCTCCCCCAGCTAGAGACGGCCGAGCCCCGCATGGGGAGGGTCTGTCCCATGCTGCGAGGGGCAGAGGTCACAGGTGAAGAGCCCAAGGGAGGGGAGCTCCTGGGCGGGCCCTCAGAGAGTCCCCGGGCCACTTTAAGGCTGACCCCTTCGCCAGGCGAGGGCGGGCCTGGGACAGGCTGAGGTCGGGGCGAGTTGGAGGGCTGGGTTTATTTTATTGTATTTTGCCTCCAGCGCGGGGCCGGAGACACTCTTTCCCGCGGGAGACAAAAGGCCCGCGGTGGCGGCGTCCCGCCCCGCTGGGAGGGCGTTTCGCCCCCAGGACTCTGTGTCCCAAGACTGGGGCGTCTGGTCACTCAAGCTGCCCAAAGTGCCGAATTACGGGACTTCTGATCACCCACCCCACCCCCACTCGGGACCGTTGAATTGGGGCCTGCGGGGCGGGGCGGGGGAGAGCTCCGAACTCGCGAGCAGAGGGGCTCAGACTGGAGCGGCTGCGGTACCGGGTCTGTGTCGCCAGCTGCCTTGCCCATCCACCCCCAGATTCTCGGTCCCGCCTTGCTATAAAACCTGGGGACACTGGAGTACCGGTTGGAGAGGGGTCTGGATCGGACCTAGGGGCCCGTAGAGCAGAGGCGGGCGTTCGCAGCCGGCTGCAGCCGGGCGAGCTTGGGGGCGGGGAAGCGACGCGTCCCCAACCCTGGGCAGATCCAGTTTCCCGAGCTCCAGACCCAGATCTGGTCACCCCCGCTTCTCCGCGCGGCAGGCGACTGGCAAGACCCGGAGTCAGAGGCTCAGACATTAAACACAGAAAAACTCAGAAATCGCTCTCGAAGTCGCCCCACTCGCGGAAATTTTCCATGTGTGAGTGAGATGAGGGAGGGACGAGAAATACGGCGGCCCCTGCCTCGGTCCCGGAGAGGCCCGGGAAAAGGAGGAGCCTTCGGGGAGGGAGAGACCGAGACAGGCATTCCCATGGAGCCGGGACCGGGACCCAGGAGAGCGGCCGTGGGCGACCCAGGGGCAGGGGACTCAGAGGATCCGGGCCATTCATCAAAGGAAGACATTTGGACAAAGTTGGCCCCCTCCCCTTCCCCCCATCCTCCAGCTCCCCGGCCTCTGTTCCCTCTGTTTTAACGGACAGTTCCAATTCTCCCCCCAAAGGAGGTCCAGTCGGGGATTAGAAAAGAAGGGGTAGGGGGTGGTGGTGGGGAATATTCGTTGCCTATTTCTTTTTGGTATTGGTCGTCGGCTCTCTTCCGCCTTGGCCCCCTTGCCTCCTCATGAATAAAAGAAAAGTCCGAACCTATCAGATCTCGTAGGCCTCCTCCTCCTCCTCCTCCCCTTCCTCCTCCTCCTCCTCCTCCCACCCCAGCCGGGCACTTTGCACAACTTATCCAGCTGATCACTCGCCCCCTCGCTTTTCCTTCTCGCTTCCCCAACCCCGTCACCCCCTCCAGCCCGGAAACCCGAGGCGGCTTCTTCCCTCCTGGAGTTTTCTAGGGGGTGCGGGGTGCGGACGCTGGCGTGTACGGGGGTAGCGAGTGCAGCTTGGCGACAGAAGGCGTGGACAGGAGTGAGGAGAGGGAGAGGGAGGGAGGGAGAGAGAGGGAATAAATATATAAATAAAGACGAAAAAGATCCCCGCCGCAGCCTCTCTGCTCAGAAACTTTGGCCTCCAGCACCGGAGCGGGCTGCTGGCGGGCCGAGGCTGGGGACTCTCCCTCTGGCCGCATCCCCTCAGCCCCTTTCCAGCCTCTCCCCGACCTACTCCCCCAGTTCTGCTGAGCTCCAAGGCCCCCACAACTTCTGGCCGAGCAGAGCCGACAGAAGCGGACTTGGGGTTGGTGTGTTTGTTTGTTTGAACTTCCTTGTCGCCACCTTCCCTCCCGCCAACCTCCGCCCCGACTTCACCCGCCCCCCTCCCCAAGTTCTGGACGCGTCGAACTGCTGCCTGGGGTGGGGGGGTGGGGGTAAGGAGCGTGTGCGGAGGGGAGGGGGAAGAGGAGGTGGGGGGAGAGGAAAGAAAGAGATCGCAGCAGGGGTAAAGGGAACGGACGGAAAGTGATTTTTGCCGACTCTGGATTCGCCCCCGACGTGCGCAAGAATGGCGGCCCTGCCCGGCACCGTGCCCAGGATGATGAGACCGGCTCCGGGTCAGAACTACCCCCGGACCGGGTTTCCCCTGGAAGGTAAGAGCGCCGGGACTTGCCTCGCCCTGACTCCTCTGCGTGAAACTCCAGGTCCTAGGAGAGGTGGCTATCTCCTGGGGGGATGGTGTCGATGGTGGCGGCAGGAGGGGGGGTGTCCCCCAAGTACGGGTACAAGGCCCAGGAAGTTTCTGGGACGGACACTTGTCCGTTTCTGTGTCCGCTTCCCTGCCCTCCGCGGGGCGGCACAGGTCGCGCTGCTGGCCTTTCCGCCGCAGGAGGCAATCCTGGTAGATTTCTGCTTCTTCCACTCTTTCTGATTCGTTCCCACCTAATACTTTTTCTCCTCGATCACCGGCTGCGGACTTTTTATCTTGTTTTGAATTGCACTTTTCACTCCCGGGGTGGCTTTTGGACCCCTTTTATTTCGAAATATTAGCAGATGCCAAAAGTGGAAACTACGCAGGCGTATCCGCTTCTTACAAAGCGACAGCCAAACACTTTTTCGGCCTGAATACAAACGAATTTGCAATAAAATATAGGACCTTTTTTCCCCCTCCCGAAAAACTTTTTACCTTGGTTCTCAAACTCGGACTCTCCAGGGACAGAACCTTGAAATGGCTGGGGGGACACGACAATGTCCAGCAGGGTGGAGGGACGGGGGAGTATTCTTTTTCCGAATGCTTCCTTTGCTGCATCTTGAGTGCCTAGGAAGAGCAAAAAGACCGGTGGGGAACAAGATTCCACTCAGGCACTAGCTGGAAAGCGCCAGGCGGAGAAGACAAGAGTCTTTGCTGCGTTTTTTGGCGTTCAGTTGTTTCGTCCCCCCCCCTCCCCCAACTAATAGAAACCCTTAAACTGTCGCTGAAGGAGTCATTCTGCTTCTGGGACTAGGTAGTCCAGGCTGTCATAAAGAAATGGTTAGAGATCTGTGCGAATTTTATTTTTTAATTACTCCGCTGGAAATTGTGTGAGCCCCTTGTGCGTGAGGAAGGGAAGAGAAAACTGGGAGGGGGGTGGGCGGCGGGCAGGCAGCCGGCGATGTGGGGAAGGTGGGGGGGTGTCCCTCAGGCAGTGAGCCGGCCCGTGGTTCCTGAATTAGACAGAGGCAAAGAGAGCAGCTCCGTGTTCAAGTGCGCGGGAGCAGCCACGCAGGCGGGGGAGCGCACAAGCCCGGGGATTTGCCGTAGCACTCTTCTGTAGCGAATGAAAGTAAAACAGGCGGCCGAGGACGCGCGGCGGATTAGGACAATATTTGCCCAACATGACGGAGAATACTGAGGAGAGCCGAGTGCCGGTCGCTAAAGAGGCTCTTGAATATAAAGTTGGTCACTCGAGAGATAATGGCATAGCCCGCCACGGAGACCGAGTGACTCTGACTTGGCGACGCACGATTTCTGATTAAATCCGAGGGTAGCTGCAGACATCTACTTTTACAAAGAGAGGTGGGGGGACCAGGAAAGCGAGGGAGGGGACAGAAGGAGAGCTCGACAGCGGGAGCCTCTTCTCGCCTCCTCCCTTCCAATTATACTGTTGGCTCCTTGGACTCCGCTGGCTGTGAAATCGTTCTAATCTGGCAGATCTCAGCAGCAGCCGAGTCCCCAAATTGGGGGGATCGAGACCGGATTAGTGCACCGGGTGTCCCCTAACCTTCTGTGAAGAAATCGTGTAGACTTTGCATTAAGGAGTCCTCAGCTGTTCTCCCCTCCCCAGCGGGGTACCTGCGACCCTGGTTCCCAAAGTCACCCACAAGAGGGAAAGCTCAGGCCCAGTCCACCCGACAGCCTGGCCCAGTCTGGAGGGACGGCCCAGGTCTCCTGAGGCCCAGCGGGAGTGTTAGATTTTAGAGTTCACTCACACTGGAGGTGACCCAAGCTCCTTCAAAAACGAAATTCGAATTCTGACAGAGTTCGAAAGCAAGGGAAGCCCCCCTCCTCCCAGGGACATCCAGGTGTCCCCAGAGAAAGTGATCAACAACAGCATTATCTCACCAGCTTCTAGGCTGTGCCTCAGCTGTTCAGCCAAGGCTAGGGCTCCTCTATTGCAAAAGCCAGGGCTGTGGATGCATTCCTTCCACCAGTCCCTTTGGCCCCCGAGAATATGGATCTGTCTGGACCACTTAGAGCATGCAACTGACCAGATGGGCCACAGCTCCCTGGTTATTGGCCTCTTGAAGAGGAAGGCTGACCTGCTGCCTGGGGGACAGAGGTCTCTTGAGTTTTTGGACTCTCCATCTTTCTTGCTGTCCTTCTCAGGGGCACCAAGAGCCCCCTGCCCAGGTGTGTTCCGATTCTCCATAGTGTGGCAGGACTGAGGCCACCCGGTGGGGGTGGGGTGGGGGGACTTGTGCTGGGACCCTCTCTCAATCCTGGCAGCACCCACCTTCAGGGTTATGACAGTTGTCTCTCAGGCTTCTGAGCTGCCTCCCTGCAAATGTGAAATCCTTGCAGCTCATTGTGCTAATGCACAACCCTGGTCAAGGGGGTACATATCCCGTGTCCCCTCCCATCCTTACCCTGCACCTCTCTCCTCCATTCCCACCCTGACCACTGCCTTTATCCAGTGTCTACCCCGCTCGGACAAGGCCGGGTAAACCAGCTTGGAGGGGTCTTCATCAACGGACGACCTCTGCCCAACCACATTCGCCACAAAATCGTGGAGATGGCCCACCATGGCATCCGGCCCTGTGTCATCTCCCGCCAGCTGCGCGTCTCTCATGGCTGTGTCTCCAAGATTCTCTGCCGCTACCAGGAGACAGGGTCCATCCGACCTGGAGCCATCGGAGGCAGCAAGCCCAGAGTGAGTGTCTTTGCCAGGGAAGCTGGTAGCTAGTCTCCCTGTGGCCAGGGGAGCCTGAATGAGGCCCCTGTCACTGCCCTGTGTCATCCAGTAGCAAAGAGATATCGCTTTGCTCCCTATGGAAACGACAGGAGGAGAGTGCCCCCCATCCCATTATTGTAAGTGAGGTCTAGGTGGTTCAAGACTTTGAGGTCCATTAAGCCCCTACCACCATGCCCGACCTGGGAAAGTCTTCGGTTTTTCTTTGGTTTCTCTCCCCACTCGTCCCCAGTCTAGCCTGGAAATAGTGAAGGGAGACATTGGGGGTCCTAGTTAGCTTTCACTTTTATTCCCAACCACTCCCCTTCCTCCCCCAGCAACTTCCCCTGGAGCAGAGAACAGGTTTCTTTGAAAGGTAAAGCCAATCTCAGTAGAGGGGTGGGGTGGGGGGCATGGAGACCAGTGCCATCCACCTGGCCTGGGGCTCTTGGGAGGTTGATATTAAAAGTCTCTCCCTCCCTCCACTCTATCCTTCCCCTCCGACGCTCCCACCTCCACCTCTGAAGCAGGTGGCCACTCCGGATGTGGAGAAAAAGATCGAGGAGTACAAGCGAGAGAACCCAGGCATGTTCAGCTGGGAGATCCGGGACAGGCTGCTGAAAGACGGCCACTGCGACCGCAGCACGGTGCCCTCAGGTGAGAAGGCAGCTGAGCCAGACCCTGGGGCGTGGGGTGGGGGGTGGGGAGCATGGGCTGAGGAACTTGAAGGAAAGTTGAGAAGAAAAGGAAAAAGTTAGGGCAATGGAAGAAATCAAATGCAGAAGGAAGGAAGCTGGAAGGAGGGAGGAAGACTGGGGAGATAGTTGAGGAAGAGGGAGGGAGGGAGACCAGAAGGGGTAAGAAGTGAATAAAGAAGGTTGGTAAGAGGAAGCCCTACCCCCACCACCACCACACTTTCATTAAGACCTAGGGAAAGGGGTCTGTCCCAGGACAGTTAGTCTCCATGGGCTCCCTGAGACCCCCTTCTTCTCCACATTGTCATCTCTGCTCTGTTGTCACCTTCAGCCACAAGGGTCCTAAGGGTGGAGACCCCCAGACCTTGTTACTCAGGACTGAAGTGGGGTATGTGTGTGTGTGTGTGTGTGTGTGTGTGTGTGTGTGTAGTCACGGAGGGTCCGTGGGGTGGGGGGCACAGCCGAGCAAGGGGAAGGCTGCCGCAGGGATTGGAGGGCCTCTAGGGCATCTGGTGGTCTAAGGCACAAGGACAAGGAGGTGTATCAGAATGCCAGCAAGCCGGTGCCTTTGTGACAGTCTTACCCTGGACTGTACCGGGTGAGAGGCCGGCAGGCTGAGTGGTTGGCTTTGTGCCTCCAGTTACGTGTAAATGCTTAGGTGTGTGAATAAGTGTGCCTTCCTTGGAGGGTGTGTAAACAAGGGGACATGTGCCGACTTTCCTGGACTGTGGGCAGAGGCTGTTCAGGCTCCCCTGCCCCAATGACTTATACTCGCTCTTTTGCCTTTGAATTTCTGAGGTTTAGTGAGTTCGATTAGCCGCGTGCTCAGAATCAAGTTCGGGAAGAAAGAGGAGGACGACGAAGGGGACAAGAAGGAGGACGACGGCGAAAAGAAGGCCAAACACAGCATCGACGGCATCCTGGGCGACAAAGGTAGGGACCCACTTGCGGCTGGCGATGCCAGAGCCCGAGTTTCTCCCGCGCCAGTCGGCGGACCTGTCTTGTTTGCTTCCACCGGAGGACTGAGCTGTACAGGGGAGCCTGGGGCCCGGAGGCAGCCGACTCCTCCCAGGCTCCCGGTGAGCTGCCCTGGGCGGGGCCCAGGCGGTAAGCAGAGCTGGGGCGCAGCCAGGCCCACAACGGTCTTGTGTCCCAGAGAGCTGCAGGTTAGAGCCCTGTGCGCCGCCGATTTTGCAGCCCAGTGCGCCTCTTCTAACAAGGCACAAGTCCTCCGAATCCTCGAATCCTCGAATCCTCCGGGGGTTGGTGTTTTGGCCGCTAGCGCCTTGGTCTCTATCAATTATTTATAAGAAACTTGGGCAAGGAGGGGGGAGAAGAAGGAGGAGCCCGGCCTGCGGCTCCCTAAATGAATTTGTTAACCAGACCCGCACACGCTCTCTAAATGGTCCCCTGAAACCCCTCCTGACAGTTGACTGACTGCTGCAATCAATAAAAATTAGCGAGGGCCGCGTGGGCCGCCGCCTGACTCATCTCGCCGCGTTGTTAGTGCTGGAGCTGAGGCAAGGAGTGGGGGCCAGAAGGGTCCCCGTTTGACTCTTTCCTCTTGGGCGTTAGTTGGCTTAGAGGCGGGAGCTCCCGACCAGCTCCCCAAGGCTCAAGGTCCCAGGCGCGGAGAATCTCATTGCGAGCCCGAGAGAAAGATTCAGACCCACCCTGCCCCACTTGCATGCAGTCTGGGAGCTGAGCCCAGCATCCTGCTTTCTGCCCCTGCCCAGCGATCAGTTGGGGAAGGCATGTATCTTTCAAGCGCCTGCATGCCCGATGGGGAGGGGGGCAGGCAGGTGGGGGGGGGCAGACAGAGAGAAGGGAATTTTTTTAGGGGGTGGGGGGGAAGCTTCTGCCAGGGTAGAGAAAGGGAGAGTCCTGCCTCTCTAGACACTCCAGAGCCTCTTTGTGACTGGGACCTAGAGAGAGAAGGAATGAGAGAACCCGGGTACAAAGCAGCAGCTATCCCCCCCCCCACACACACCCAAACACATGCAGGGAGACAGGGGGCTGAGAACAGACCCTGGAAAAGCCATTGGCCAGGTGAACCTGCACACCACACCAGGGCCTTTGCAAAAGGTGTGGAAATGCCCTGAACTCTGAAACTTGTGAAGAACTTGTTTTGCCCAGCTTTCCTTCCAGAGATGTCTTCATCTCTGCCCTCACCCTCACCCCACACATCTAGGCCAGCTCTCTCTTCTAATTCCTAGCCGTGCCTCCCAATCTTCTAGATGAGCTTCATAGATGAAGCCTGCTTCACAACTGCCCCCCCTACACATACACACACACACACACACACACACACACACACACACACCACCTAACCCCCAAGGGAGGTGAGCAGTGTATAGTCCGAGGTGATAGCAGCAAGAGAGCCAGAGTACTGGGATGGCTGTCAACATTAAGAGTCCAGGTGTGTGTGTGTGGGTGGGTGGGGGGCAGTCCCACCCCAAACAAAAGGGTGAGGGAAGAAAGATGGCCTAGTGTGTGCAGCACCCTCCTGTGCAGGGCCTGAGGACGCCCCTTCGGTCTGTCTGCCTTGGGGAGGCAGTTCTCTGAGACAGAGTTGCCCTGGGTTGGGCCAGGCAGCTCCAAGAGTGTGGGGAGAGCTGTCTGTTGGGCAACCCAAGTCCGTATTTTTGTTTGGAAAGAGAGTTGGACCTTTTGGTGGGGGAGAAGGCATAGGACCTGAATAATCCACCCTGGCTAGGTTCTTCGCAGCAGACACCTCTTCTGAGAGATATTCCCAAGAGTCCCAGGAAGTTAGACTTTTATTTGGAGCAACTTTAGGAGAAAGCGTGTGTGGGGGGAGTGGTGGTGCCCAAAGGACTGTGAGGACCCATTCTGTCTGAGGGGGCAAAGGAGGACTATGAAAAGAATGGCCCTTCTGACTCAGGGGGATATGGGGGCCTCTCCTAGAGAGGGCCTGGCCTTTCACTGGATAGAGGCTTTCCCTGAATCTGCACCAGGAAGTCTCCAATGGCTTCCTCAGGAGCGAGGCTCCAGACAGGACAGGAGCTGAAAACATCAGGGCTGAGTCTGGGGAGCAGCTGGCGAAATGAAATGAAGCGCCCTCAATGAGAAAGCAGTGGCCTGGTGTCTGGAGAGCCCCACTGTGTTCAGGTGGCAGTGGTTGTGCTGGGCACTGGGATTGCCCTGCACTGGTCTGCTACCCCTGTGGACTCTGGGGTCTCTCCAGGACTGTTTGCCCAGGGCTCTTTGGAGCCCAGTGTCATGGGTTGCTTGCGTGGGCCAGTGGGATTCTTCTACAGGGGTGTGTGTTATGATTGTCAATGGGTGTGGGTGGGCACTGTGACTGTGTGCGAGAGAGGGTTGTCTACGTGTGGATAAATGGCATCAATTCCCAGTGTGCCTACCTGGGCCACTGGGCAGATATCCCAGTAAACCGCCCAGCTGGAACCCAGCGTTCCCAGCCCAGATGCAGATGCGGGCTTCACTGCCAAGTTAAAGGCGAAAGACCTCCTAACCCCCAAACAGGGGGCCAGGGCAGCAGAAGCTGAGATACTGCCACATGGCCAAAAGGGCAGGGGGTGGGGGTGAGGGTGGGTCCCAACCCTGCAACTTTGTTTTGGCTTCTTGCTCTTGACAAATGCTGTCTCTGGGGTTGCCCCTCTCATGGCGGGGAGCCACCAAAGAAGGGGTTTAAGAGCTCTTCTCTTTAAGCGCTAAAGAGAGATTCCCTCCCTGAGTCCGTTTTTCCCTATCGTCCGCTTGGCATTTAATAATGTTAAGACTTATTAGAGCTGGTAATGAAAACTGGGGCTGCTGAATAGGAAACTGTGTTGGAGAGGGGTGTAATAGCTTCCAGGCATGGTAAGAAACTATTTATCCGCAATCAGTCCTCACTCTCAGAGTTTGAAGCACAAACGCTAAGTTGAAGGGTTTTAAAGCAGATTAAATTGAGCTTTTATTTCTGTGCACTTTCATCTCTGAACAGCTCACTCCTGCTCCCCTTGGGCTGATATTCATGAGACTGTTCATACCCCCCCCCCTTTATCCTTGTTAAGACTGAGTTATTAGGATTGTTGGGTGTGAGGATTCTCAGACCACTGCCGTCAGGCCAGGCGCTCTGGCCAGGCTTTGTCACCTGGAGAGGAAGGTAGACAGCTCTTTGCACCCAAACACCTGGGCTCTTTCCTCCTCACCCCCTTCTTCGAGGACTCCAGAAGAGAAGGGTCAGGCACCTAGCCAGAGGAGGATTTGAGGGGACACCAGGGTACTGGAAAGGAAACATTTTTTTTTTCTCTCTGTATCCTAGTCCAAGGGAGAACTCATGGGAATTTCAGAACCGTTTACAAAGAGTTAAAGGATTCTCTGTGGAAGCCGGGGGAGCCGGTATGAAGGAATAATAACATCATAATAATACTAAGATACTGTAAGAACCATATCCTCACCGTTTGACAATACGCATGCATGGTGAAGCTGAAACTGACCAGGTCAAGGGAAACTCAACTTGTCAGATACAGGCCTGCCCTTTTGAGCCTCTGGAGTGGAAATAGGGAGGCCATGATGAATGTGAAATAAAAGGGTGGGGGGAGAAACCCCCACTCCCAAGATTAAAAACAAAACAAGTCTTTCCTCTGTGGAAAATAAAATAAAACCACCACCACCACCACCCAGGGGCCGCTGACTGCAGCCTGGAGAATCCCCAGTCCTTCTGGGTCTAAAAGACCACCGGAGGGGGGAGGGGCACAGTGAAGGGCAGGTAGGTTTATTTTCCTTTGCACTCTCTTGGCTTTAATTCTAAAGCTGCGAACATACAGGTGTGGAGCGGGAGGTGGCAGGGAAGGGTCAGGGCGAGAGCAGAGCCCCGAAGTGTCGGTTTTAGACACTTGTAAAAAGAGGTGGGAAACAATTTAATTTGGCAGCGTCGATAGCTGCTAATGCGGTTTTCGGTCGTTTGCTACACTGGAGGAAGCTGTTTTGATTGTGTGTACAAGGACCTGCCAAATTTAATTAGGCTCTGGGGGAGCGAATGAATAGGGGAAGGGGGGGCACTGCTCCCCTCGGCCCAAACCGGCCTTTTTTTTTTTTTTTCCTTTCCCCTGGTTCACACCTGGAAGGAACATTGTTTCTGGGATGGGCCAGGAAGGGGACGGATTGGGGAGGGGAGGGCAGAGAGAGGGGACTTGGAAGAGGGAGCAAGGAAGGGAGGCAAGTCGTCCATTTATCAAAGAAACAATCGGCATTGATTTAAACCAACAAGTTCCCTCCTCTGTAAATGTGTGTTTAGAGAAAGGTAATTGACACTCCACCAAATCAAAGGATTACCCCGGGTTGGCAATCTAATCAAACAGAGTCCAGGCGGGATTTGAAGCTGTTCAGAGTGGGATCAGCTTCGCATAATGGGGGCTCCGAGGAAGATGTCAGGCAATTCCCCGGCTTTAGGCGGCTCTCGGTGGCGGATATACTGAGACCGGAGGGAGAGAGGGAGGGGGAGAAGGAGAGGCTTCGCGCGCAGGGGTGGTGGGGGGATGGGGTGAGCAAAGAAGGGGTGCGAAGGGGGACTCTTCCGGCGGTGGGGGCTTCGGACGAGCGAGAGAGCCCACACTGGGCTGACAAGGCTCCCCCCTCTCTTTCCTCCATGCCCCCAACTGAAGTCGAGGAGGAGGTGGGGAGGCGGGAGCCGAGCCTAACGAAGAACAACAATAAGGAGATAACTATTACAAAGGCAAACACTGGCGCTCGCGCGCTCGCAGCCCCAGAACCCGCGGTAAATAAACAAAGTCGGCAAACTGTTTGCCAGATAAACTCGTGCCTAAATCGAGTGTGACGGGCAAGGAGAGAAGAGGCAGAAGGAGATAAGGTCGGAGGGGGAATGAACGAGCATAATCTAATAGAAGACATTTAGAAAACAAACTTTAAACAAGGGAGAACAGGCGAGCGGAGAGTAATTACCCGCCCCC